GACCTCACTAGTGGGATTATATTGGGTTGTTGTTGTTGTTGTTTAATTGGTTGTATTTGTGTTTCTTATTCGCTTAAGTAATAATTATGATGTTTTTGTTGCCTTGGTGTTTACATCACTAGTTGATTGTTGTTGTTATCACTGCCATTTATTCCACATTATTTTTGTATACTATATTGCACGGGTTAATAGACTAGTGAGTGTCTTGACTGTACCTCGTCACTACTCCACCGAGGTTAGTCTTGATACTTACTGGGTACCGACCATGGTGTACTCATACTACACTTCTGCACATTTTTGTGCAGAGCCAGGTATTGGAGATATTAGACTCGGGCAGAGTTAGTGTGTTGATCGCAAGGATTCAAGGTAGAGTTGCTTGGTCATCGCAGTCCCTTGGAGTTTTTCTATTTTATTGTAGTATCAACTCTTATTCGGACAGTATTGTATATTCGATCCTTGAGATCATTACATGTATCCGGTTAGAGTTCGTGACTCAGTATTACCAGTCTTAGGAGATTTTTATATTTGTTTCCGCTTTTGATTTCGACACTTGTATTAAGTTATATGTTTAAAAAATGGCTTGAAATGAAATTGAAATCGGCTTACCTAGTCTTAGAGACTAGGTGCCATCACGAAGCCTGAGGTGGGATTTTGGGTCGTGACATTTGAGATTTTGAATTTAAATATTTTTTTACCTTTATATGTAATATTAAAAAATAAAAAAAATGGATAATTTTTGTCTATAACAGCCAAAATATATTCAAACGCCAAATGTTGTTATAGGTGTATAACAGTCATTCACTATAAAAGCCAAAAACATTCGGAACAAACGATGTTGTTATAGAGAGGTTTGACTGTAGATAATAAAATTACACGAACAAAAGGTAGAACTGAAATATTTAATATATAAATCTTGATGGGGCATGCGAAACTACTTCTTGACCACATAATATTTTTGAAATTTATTTTAAACGATTAATCGTGAAGTACATATATAAAGCACATAAACATCAACAAAAAAGGAGAATTCATTTGGTTGAAAAACGGAAAATTTAATGCTAATAGTTTTTCTAAAGTAGGTTAAGTATTTATTATTGAAACTCAAAGACAAAGTTTTGGTAGGAGACTGAAAGTGACGAATTCTTAGCCAACTTGAAAATCTTAAATATTAGTTGATCTAGTATTAAACTTAATGGAGATTATAATTTTATCCAACATATAATGTAACTTAATTCACTTTTCAAAGGGTAGTAAAATCGATCGATAATTCAAGGATATTTTAGTCATTCAATATTTAGCGTTTTAATATTCGTGCTTTTATAATAACTAGTTTTAGTATACATGTGTTGTACGTGTGTGTAGCATCTATCAATTAAATATATATATATTTATATTAAAATATAACATAATATTTATTTAAATAATAAAAGTAGATGTTATCTCACTAACATAGTAGTTACATTCTACATCTTCTAAATATGCAAAGATGATGAATTTAGTTAAATTAGTTGCATATTATTTTGTAATTATATATACCATATAATATGAGATATAAATATGTTAAATTGTATCTCACTTGAAATCTCTTTATTAAATATATTTTGCCTACTACCATTTCATCCTCATTTCTTCAAGTTTGCGTTTTAACAAATTTAATTCTTAATACTATAACTAATTTTATTTTATTTTCTGATTTTTTTTATCCTCGATGATTTTTTTATGAAAAATAATTTATGTAACTTGAAAAATGATTTTACCTCTATGATGAAGTTGAAAAGGAATGAAGTTGGATTATTTTCCTAATTAGTTAATTCAAATTCGGGGGAAAAAAAGAATTAATTTAAATAGTTAATTATCTTTTTAAAATATTAAGAGAAATAATTTATTCTTTGAGGATTCAAATTTTTATATTAGCTCATACCATATTTTAAATATTTAATTATAACTATCTTTTTATCCACGAGAGTTGTAAGCAAACAATCGTAAAAAAAAAAAATCAAGAAGTAGTCTAAGTAGAGCTAAGGTAAAAAACATGAAAAATCCTGTGTATTCGATCTAGTGCTCTCACTTGCCCACAAGGGGCCGGCCCGTCAAAAGTCTCGTTCCTTTGCGAACGAAGTTCAGAATCAACAAGGGTTCGTAGAACGAAGGGAGTGTATAACTGGGGCGCAACCCCACTTTTTTGTTCGTAACGAGGGAGAGATGGAATTGAGTTCTTTACGAAGTTCGAAACAAAGAAAAAAAAAACGCTTCTCGACGTACTTCTATTTATTAACAATATCTTTCGTTTCGTCCAAGCCGGATCCGAAGTATCGGCTTTATTGGGTAGAATGCCTTCCGCTGTGGGTTATCAACTCACCCTCAGTACCGAAATGAGTTCTTTATAAGAAAGAATTACTTCTACCAAAGAAGGGTCCATAACCTCTATTCAAGCAGTTTATGTACCCACAGACGATTTGACCGACCTTGCTCTTGCTACGACATTTTCACATTTAGATGCTACAACCGTACTATTAAGAGGATTGGCTGCCAATAGGGGTGGGCGTCGGTCGGTTATTATGAAAGTACGGTTCGGTTTATTGGTTTTCGGTTTTGTAATATTAATAACCAAATCAAACCAAAGCTTTTACGGTTCGGTGCGGTTTTTTCAAAGTTTGGTTCGGTTATTTCCGATTTATTTTTTCAGTTTTAAACGGTTGTAGGAACAACAAGTATTTACGGTTTGTAGGAACATCAATAAACAAGGCTGGAATTTATTTGCTTTTCGTCCAGCCCAACATCAAATTGTCATTTTGACTTTTGAGAAAGACAGCCCAGCAAATTGTCATTTAGTTGATGTTCATCCAGCCCATCAACAGAGAAAGATAGTGGCAGACGGCAGTCTAACACAAGTTTTGATAACAATAACACTCTAATTTTGAAACTACACTATAAATGAAATCGAGAATAGACTATAGACAACAAGCACACAGAGAGCAGGGAGGCCTTCAGTGGCATCAGTGCAAACAGAACACCTAAGTAGCAAAATACCGCACAGTTCAGCAGTGAAAAACTAGTCCAAAACAGTTTAACACAGTGGCAAATCTAGCAGCTACCAAAGTCCAAAATAAGTCTAGAAATACCATCACCAAACAACAAAATAGTGGCAAACTAGTCACAACCCACAACCCACAAAGTAAGTCTAGAAAATGATACTTAAAGCCTTAAATACGAATCACTGGATGAGGCATGAGACACTTCTTAATATGCTTCACTAAGCCATAAGTGCCATAATACTTTGGATGACAATTATAAACTCGGTCACAATGAAGGCACTTTGCTTTGCGGGCTTCTTCATTTACTTTAACTAGCTCAAAATATTTCCAAATAGGCGATCTAGCTTTAGGACCACGAGGCATAGTTGAACCTACAAAAAAAATTAGAAAATCGAATGAAAATAGAATTAAGGTCGGAACTCCTATAAGTCTATAACAAATAGACACTACAAGAAATCATAGCTACAACGACATTTATTTAGCGACACATAATAAATGTCAGAAAAAAACTAATTCTTTGATATTAAGATTTTGGTAAGTATTTTTCTATTCTAATCTGTTGTTCACTGGATTAAATTTCTGGTTAACTGCCTTTGAAATATTTTACATGAAGTTAAAGTTTGCACTTTCTTTGATTCATCTTTTCATGTTGAACTGATTTTGTTCTAGTAGTGATGAGATTATTAACATTATTTGGTTGTTTAATCGTTCTTACTGCTATAGAACCTTGAATCCATTTACTAGTACATACAACATTTATCAAACGATTATGTGTAGATACTAATTTTTCTATGTTCATAAGTGGAAACATGTTTAATCTGTACCTTTCTCTTTTAACTTTAGAGTTTATTTACATTACTTATTTATTGTAGTGGTATGTAAACCAAATCCTTTGCTTTTTAGGTTGGCCATCTACCTAGAAACCTCATTTGGCAGAAACATCCAAGCACCTTTCTCTTTTAACTTTAGAGTTTATTTACAATACTTATTTATTGTAATGGTATGTAAAGCAAATCTTTTGCTTTTTCGGTTGGCCATAAACCTCATTTGGCAGAAACATCCAAGCACCTTATTATTTTATTGATGTACTTGATTGCTTTTTGAAATTTTGAGAGAATTTGTGGTGCTTAATACTAAAGTAAAGTTGTCCATACGTTAGAACTGATTTTGAAATATACTGAAGTGAAAGACTAAGACAGTGAGACATTTTCTTTCTTCATACACAAAAGAATAACAGTGAGACTAATTGAAAATCAACATAAATAAAAGGCTAACAGTGAGGCTAATTGAAAATCAACATACACAAAAGATTAAGACATTTTCTTTCTTCATAACTCAGAAGAACTCACACTAACCTGAGAATGAAGGATGAGCGATGAGCTGAGGAAGAAGGCGTCACAGTTGAGCTGAGAAAGAAGGCGCAGAACTCACAGGAACTCAGAAGAAGTCGCAGCAGTCGCACAGGAAGAAGGAAGAACCGAAGAGGCAAACTTTTCAATTGATGTAGGCTTGAGAACCCTAATATAATTCTTTATTTAGGTTTGGGAAATGGAAAATGGGAAGTGACTAAGTGTAATGTGTATTAGTGATTTAGTCAGTTGTAACCAATGGGTTTGGACTTTGGGTATTAGACAAACTATCAATAAGTTTGGGTTTGGGTAAACTAAATTGGGCTTCAAAGTTCAAATAGATATTGGGCTTCAGCCTAAAATGGGTACTAACTAATACCCAAAATTTCGGTTATTCGGTTAAACCAAAAACTGAAACACCAAAATCGTAAACCGCACCGAAAAATTGAAAATTAATAATTTAAAAACCGTGCACCGACCGAAAAATCGATTAAACCGAAACCGAAAAATCAAAATTAACGGTTCGGCCGGTATTTTCGGTTCGGCCGGTATTATCCCACTCCTAGCTACCAAAGGTATTTATCCAGCAGTAGATCCTTTAGATTCAACGTCAACCATGCTTCAACCTCGGATCGTTGGTGAGGAACATTACGAAACCGCCCAAAGAGTTAAGCAAACTTTACAACGTTACAAAGAACTCCAGGACATTATAGCTATCCTTGGATTGGATGAATTATCCGAAGAGGATCATTTACTCGTAGCAAGAGCGCGAAAAATTGAGCGTTTCTTATCACAACCCTTTTTTGCAGCAGAAGTATTTACCGGTTCTCCAGGAAAATATGTTGGTCTAGCAGAAATAATTCGAGGATTTCAATTGATCCCTTCCAGAGAATTTGATGGTCTTCCTGAACAGGCCTTTTATTTGGTAGGTAATATCAATGAAGCTACCGCGAAGGCTATGAACTTAGAAATGGAGAGCAATTTGAAGAAACGGCCTTAAATCTTAGTGTACTGACCCCTAATCGAATTGTTTGGGATTTAGAAGTGGAAGAAATTGTTTTATCTACTAATAGCGGTCAAATTGGCATATTACCAAATCACGCCCCTATTGCCACAGCTGTAGATATAGGAATTTTGAGAATACATCTTAACGACCAATGGTTAACGATGGCTCTAATGAGTGGTTTTGCTAGAATAGGAAATAATGAGATCACTGTTTTAGTAAATGATGAGGAGAAGGGTAGTGACTTTGATCCACAAGAAGCTCAGCAAACTCTTGAACTAGCGGAAGCTAATGTGAAAAAGGCTGAAGGAAGGAGACAAAAAATTGAGGCAAATCTAGCTCTCCGACGAGCTAGAACACGGGTGGAGGCTATCAATCCGATTTCATAACTAGTTGGTACGTTCGAATAATAAAAAGAAGTTCTCTTTCTAATCCTATTTAGATTCTGTCGGGTGAATACAATCAAATATAATCAAACAGAATCAAATTCTGATGCAAAAATTCAAATTCAAAAATGAAATGAAATAGAAAAGATACAAAATCAAAAAATCAATATCACTAAGGGTGGGTCGTAGACCTTATTGGATACCATTGACTCTGATATCTAATAAGTTTTACCTACTATTGGATTTGAACCAATGACTCCCGCCATATGAAAGCACTACTCTAACCATTGGGTTAAGTAGGTCATTTATCATCCCAAAGAGAACCAAATGAAACCCATCCTCGATGGATTACAAATATCATATTTCTTAATAAGCAATACTAATCTAAGGAATACCACTCAAAAAGATCAAAGATTGTTGATGTTGGATCATGGAATATTTATCTTGACAAGAATAATTTCAAATGATAAAAAATTGCACTTTAAGTTTGTCTTACATTACTTTTGTCAATCACTTTTCTTTCTCTTTTTTTCTTTGCTATTATTAAACATTTTCATAATTATTTGTTCTCCTTATTTTAAAATCTATATTAATATTTATATCTAAACATATTATCTGTCAAATAATAAAATTAATAGCCAGTGGATCAATCTCACATAGACTACTCATAGCATGTACATGTTAGTTACTGAATTGGGGTAACGGACAAAGCAAAATGCTTCATCTTTTTTTAAACCTTTTTTAAAAAAATTTGTTTACATAACAATTGTTCACCTAAAAATTTGCACAATTAAAGAATCTCTTTTGAGCTTAAAAAAACGTTCAATTAGAGACCATTCATATCATACCCTTAAGATTCGGTGTTTATTTAATGATAATTTAATTGTAAAATTTATATATGGTAAAATTTTGAATGAATTTAAAGTTCTAAATATAATAGTTTCTTAATTAAATCAAATAAGGTAAGATTTAATAAGTAATAAATTTGATTTAATTTCAAAGTCCTAAGAATTAGCTTCGAGATCAAAACTATTTAGTCTAGTGCGAACCTTATTTCCAGAGAGTAAAAAAGACGAACAACATTTCACTAAGGACTTTCGTGCTTTTTAATATAGTAATAGATATAGATTAATTCGCTGGTCCTTTACCATATTGGGATATTCTCTTCTGACTGGTAAATGCCATGTCTTCTGATTAATTCCACGAAAGCTTCAGCTTTCATGATTTCACAATTGAGTGATGTTTGAGCCGACATGATCTTATCCACATTGAATGTTTCCCTACCAGGTAGTCCAAAGTGAACAACCTGATCTTATTCCACACTTCAAAATGTTTACCAACAGAGCAGCACTAATAGTTTTCAATTTGCTCAAGATTTAGACGTGATCTTAGAAGTCCATAAATTCCAAAATAAATAAAAAGAGTCATTTGCTAAACATAAATGGACTTTTCTTGTATAGCGAAATATTTGCTTCGAACTTCTCTCGACCCGTAGTACAGTCACCTGTGCTTCATGTTCAATGCTAAGAATTTCCTACTTTTCTTACTGCTGCTTTGCCAAAAATCTTGTATTATAATTTTCCTATTTACATTGAAAATGCTGACTGAGAATTTACTACAACATGAGGGTACACCTACTTTGATTATATTTTAGAAGTTCACAAACAAATAAGACTATGAGTGCAGAGGTCAGAAAATCTACTCATTGAATTTCAATCAAGATTACATTGATGATTTGTCAATCATCTACAATCTCTAAGACAAACACAATAAACATCGAATTAGTAAACTTTAATTGGAAAAAAAATGAAATACAAAAAAGAAAAGCATTGAAGCTAATCAACAAAAGACACTATATAAATAGAAACAACTTTACTAGGACATTATTCCCTATGCTCTGACAACTAAAAGAGCACAAGCAAATTTGTGGCGTTACCCTTAGGTGCTGGGACTATCTTCAGTGACCATTTGCCAGTCCATTCTCAGTAGCTTTCTTGGCATAGAATCTTCTGTACTTGGAATCAACCTCTGTGAGGTAGTAAGTTCCTGGAGCTAGAAGGCTACAATCTTTGCTTGTGACAAAGTCCTTGGCCCCATATCTATGCTCCATTAGTTGCATTATTTCGACGAATTTTTCAGGAGCCAACTGTCATATAAGATTGATGTCAAGGATGGTTATGTTGAAAAGATAGACATGATATGAAAAAGATTTGCAAGCTACAAATGTATCAACTTCTTGGTCTTCTAGCTTCGGTAGAGTTGGTAACATTGTCAAAGTCTGCATATTATATGTATAGATGAAAATAGCACATACCTCGTGTCTTGATTTCAACTTCTCTGCAACATTCATCGCGCTTGCAATGTTTGACAAGCTAAAAGGATGTTGACCTTCATTAAGCTTGAGTGAGAACATTGTTGCAGTTGATCCACTACCATAGGAGAACAACATTACCCGCTGTCCAGCCTGTGGTAACAAAATCATTCAGAAACTAGAACAAGCAGGTTGATAATAGTACTGAACAAACAACAGGACCAAAAGGGGAAAAGTAACTCCTGATTACCAATGTGTTGTGCTTATTGTGAAGGAGTGATGCAAAAGCAGCATACAGAGAAGCAGTGTACATGTTGCCAACTTGTTTTGGTATTAATGTGGTAGGCTGCACCTTCTCATCGTAAAATGGTTTTGCAACTTGCTGGGATGTCTGTACATGGTTAAAATAATCCGCTGTTAGTTCCAATCACAATGCACATAGCTCTGAGAGCAATTTATCCTACTTAAGACTTCATTTTTAGTGTTTAAAAAAATGATATTTCAGATCACTAGAAAATGAACGAGAATGTCTTTCGAGGAAGAAAGAGTGTAGAATTCAAGAGTGAACCTTCTCAAGATCACGGCTTTGGTAGCTTTCATCACCGCTTAGGGACAAAAATGGTGCAAGCTTTTCTTTGGCAGATTCATCGATAGAGCTGAAAATGGAAAAAGTTCTTAGTCAACAAAATTCCTTTTAGATGATAAAAAGAAAAATCCTATGAAAGAGAAACTTGCAACCCACCAAGCATTCCTCAAAAAATCATTGAACAACAGCCGAGCAAAGCTCTTTTGTACAAGCTGCAGGATTTAAACAAAACATTCAAGTGTCAATAAAATTTCAGATAGAAAAGAAGTACAAATAAAGTCATCAATCCACAATAGACTCTATAAACTACCTTGTTGTACGGTGAATGGAACACAAAGTAGGCTGCATCAGCAATCGAAAACTGCTTGCTTTCCAATTTCTCATATCTAGAATATGAAACACCGCAAAGCAATTAATACAAGATAATCAAGAGACTGACTTCCTAATGGGAGAATGTTTCCACCGAGCAGCTTACTTGTTGCATACGCTCTTGTAGCAAGCATCAAGTGCCATGAGATAACAAGTTTGTGAAAGCTTGCCATCAACCACCTGCAGTCAACAATATTCATCACACCTCACAGGGTGAACAAAAAAGAGATATAAAAGAAGGTTTTAAAAAAAATTATCATCAATCCTACTTTTTCCAGTGTTAACCAAGTCAACCATCCTTCTATTTAGAATCTGTATGCTACAGCTTTTAAAGAAACATTACAGAATTACTTAGAATTACCAGATGAACTAGAAACTTAAGAAAGAAATAAGGAAAGCAAGAAAAGAAAGAGGCACAAAGCTAAAACTAGCAAATGATATTGCTCGAACATGTAAAAAGAAATAGAAAGGAAATTTATTTTATGAGAACGAGTGCTTTTCCACCCAAAAGAACGATTTAGAAGCCACTTGAGATTCAACTGACAAAAAGTACAGAAGAAATTTATCGTAAGAATGAGTGTTTTTCCATCTTAAAAATAATTTTAAGGCCATGTGAGACTAAATTGGGGGGAAAAAAGGCGTAAAGCATGCCTGTGAAAACAGATAATTAATCAGACTTGCAAGGATAAGAGGGAATTACTGGATATTCACTGTCTAGGATAGGTTTGTAAAAATCATAGACATGAGCCATATGGCTAGCCCTGATCTTGCTTTCAAAAACAATAGGGGCATCAGGCCCAATTAGCATAGCAACGGCAGCAGCTCCTCCAGTTGGCCTAGCAGGTCCTTCAGCATAGACCTATAAAAAACATCCAATAAGTGAATAGGATTCATCTTACCTCTTAAGGAAGAACATTACATAAATTTTACAGATATAGCCATGAATCACATTAAATGGAAGATGATTCAATATAACCATATTATTGCAACTTAGAGGTCCCGGTCTATTTCTAGCTACATGCCAAATAAAGAATGTAAATTTAAAGTCTATTAGACAATAGAGATACTATAGAATGTTTATCGGTGATGATCATTACCGCACTATCTGTGCATACAACAAGTCCATAACGTCCATCCCATGAAGAGCTCTCCACCCAATTCACACAGTTGAACAATGCAGCAGTTCCACCGTAGCATGCATTAGTTGAGTCAACTCCTTCAATGTCACTATTCCCACATTTCTGCATGTTTCACATGGCCAGGAGACAAGACACATTACAATTAATGAGATACTAAAACATAAAGCTTTAATAGGGGAAGTAGAATTTAAGAAAGACAAACAACATAGCTGATGCAACCGAACAATCAAGGCCAATTCACTAAGAACAGTGGTTGAAAAGTAAGGAAACTCATGATGGATTAGAAAAGAGCTGCATGGAATAGCAGATGATGCAGTATTAAGTGAATTGAGAAATATCATGTCTCTTTGGCTGCGCATCTTTGTGCTGGTGCAGTAACTGAGGACAGACAAATAACTAAGTTTTCATTTACTTCAGTCAGAGGAGGTCATTCTTATACTATATCACAGAATTAGGAGATAAGACACAGCTTGAACTGCACCATAACATAAAATGGGAAAGAGGAGGTCATTCGATTTATTAGACCGGTGCTCACTAGGAATTTAGAGAATTACCTCAAATATTTGCATCAGGAACGTCTTGATGGATTTGCTTTTATCGATAACAGTCTCACTTCCAACTTCCAGTCTACCAACTTGCTTTGGATCAACAGCATACTTCTCCAGAAGGGAAGTAACAGCTGTCAAACTGAAGACAAACAATATAATAAGAATAATTATGTGATACCAAAATCAAATTGCTTTCTCATTCAGTTACGTTAAGTAAACAAACTACTTTAAAATAGAGAATAACCAGATAATTTACTGACAACTTCAAACAACAGAGCAATTTTGCATTATGAGCTTCTAAAGCCAGTGAACATTAGTCAAAAGCGATGGAGGCAATACCTCATTGATATAACATCTTCAACCTCAGTGCAAAAGCCCATACAATCTTGTCCAAGACCAATTGTGTATTTCCCTTTGCTTGCTCCATCATGAGCTTCCAATACTTCCTATACATAGTTAATAGGAACAAGAATTTAGCAGAAATCAGAAAACTAACTCCCTACAATTTTACTAACTGATTTATCTTACTCATAAACTGATAACTGTAATCAAGTGTTAATTACATTAATAATGTTTGAAAAGAGCTTATAGAGCTCTATGGGGGCAAAATGCAACATAGATTGAAGGTGGGCTAACTACTGAAAGTGCTAAAAGAGGTGAGATAGACCTAAAATTACAGGGGGGGAAAGTATATGAAGAAGACCAACAATCTTTTGGAGTTAATATGAACTTAGCAAAGCACCACCGATCGATGAATGCAGAGGACTGTATAGGTATTAAGATTTAGTTGAGAATTACAATGAAATTGACCAGAATGGAGCAAAATGATTATAGAGTACATAGCTACCACATGAGCATATTAGGAAGTTTCGAAAAGAATGCACTCAATATCAATTACATGCATTAATATCTATACTTGCAAGCTATACTACAAAATCACATTCTTTTGGTAGAAATCATCTTAAGCATGATAAATAATGATTCCCCCTATCCCAATGCATGTATGCACGCTTTCTTTTTTACTCTGTCCAAAAAAAGAATGACATTTTTTATATATTTAGAAACAATTTAACTTTAATCTTATCATTTTACCCTTAATGAAATACTTTACAGCCACATAAATGTCTATGGCTTATTTTAAGACCACAAGTTTGAGTACATCTATCTTTCTTTCCTAAACTTTGTGCCTAGTCGAACAAAGCCACAAAAAAATGGGACGGAAGCATTAGTTTCTATGTATAACAGGGAAGCAGGAGACTCTCTCTGTATATTAAAATGAGAAAAAGCTTCAAACTTATAAATCAGAAAATCGCATGCATTTTCCCAGTCGTTCCTCTTTAAAATTTCATTCCACATCGAAAAAGTAAAATCGGCAGCAGTAAATTTCTTTTCAATAAATAAACATAAAAGACAACTTTTTAATGAACTTCAGGACTCCTAATCATAAAACTAAAAAGGCGTAGAAATCTATATTTCCGATCGCGCAACAGAAAATAAGAAGCTCGTATTTCATTTCTCTCTCAATTAAAATTAAAGCGAAAATTACGATATTGAAACAGATTCATAAATTCCAAAACGCATATGTTGTGTCTGTAAGTATAAAGGAGATTAATTACCTGCTGAATGCAAGTAGGAGGGAAGTAAATTTCCATGGCGAGGATTCCGACATTCTTCTGTTGAGGAGGTGCCATTGATTCTTCTTTGAGTAAACGGAACAGATCCAAACAATTTCTCCCTCAAAAATAGGAGAGAATGTTTTGTTTAACAGAAGAAAAAGAGAGATGGGAAATGCGTGAGTGATTCGAGGAGAAGAAGAAGAAGAAAAAAAAAGAAGGTGAATTATTTCATGTTTCCGTTGGGGATTATATATAGTAGTTTGCCCCAGCCCTCAAATGCAGACTTCGTAACAACCAATTTTCATTTTCCCCAAAATATTAATAAATGCAAAGTAAGAGAGAGAAAGAGAGAGAGAGCTTCCTCCTAGTCTAATAATTTGAGAAGTTCCAATATGTAAAAATAGTTTAATTTGTACACATATAAAGAATGAAGTCACTTAAGAATTGATTGTGTTTTAATTGTTTATATCAATCTGGCTTAATAATCTAGAAAATATGGTAGGTAATTCACCTTAAGTCTATAACTGATTATATTACGTCAATAATATAAATTATTTTACTGAATGTGTTTAAGAACCTGTTTGAAAAGTCACCTAGGAATTAGATTTGGGTGTAATTACACAGTTTGACATGTTTGTCTGACCAAGTAATTCAGCATGAAATTGGGTATAATTGGATTCTCCAATTCCCAAGGGGAAGTGAGAATTGATGGTAATTAGAATGTGTAATTATAATGTTACTTTTTAATTTCTTTCCTTTTTGTTCTTATTTTATTTTATTTTCTTTATAACTTTTTATTTTAATTTTAAAATAATTTTTTGTACATTATTTATCTTTTATTTCCTTACCTTTATTTCTTGTGATTCAATGTAATTGCTCATATATTTTATTTCTTATTTATTTTATTTTCTTCATTTAACGTAACTGCGTTATTATTCTAGTTTTTGAAACTACACCTCTTAATATTAAAAATAATGAGTCATAAACAAAATTGGCATATAATGAGTGATGTCATTAAAGTAGAATTTCGTTGTTGAATGAGGTTATAAACTTATTATGTTTCATAATCTTAAGTTGTATTGGAACTTATTTTTATTATGTTGGAATTTGACATATGTTAAAGTATTTTTTTTTTTGGAGTTTGGAATTGTGTTATATTTATGGTTATAATTTACTTGTTTTAGTAGTATTGGCTTGTTATTTCACATTGCATGTTGTTCATTTTTCAGATAGAATTGGTAGATTAGTTTTGTCAAATATTTGCATAATGTTATGACATTATATTTATAAATATTAATTTATTTTATCAAACACGCATTTCATGATGTTCTTACAAAATGTATGTTTTTAATTTTTATAATCAATTAAACTAAATATTATTAATTTGAAAAATATATATCAATTATTTTTTTTAATATTAGTTATAAATATATGATTACTAGCTAATTAGTGTATATTCAAGACAAAATATGCATCTTAAATACCAAATCTAACATCATTTATACTTATAAAAAATTATTTATAGCCATATATTTATTACTTTAAATTTTTAAGTTTTGATCATTCATTTAAAATTTAATCTAACTATGTAATTACACTTGTGCAACCAAACAGTATATTTGTAATTACACTGTAATTACGTTGTGACAAACAAACTGATCGTCGTAATTATTAGGTTATGTAATTATTACCCTAGTAATTACACCAATTCTAAAAATCGAGTGACTTTCCAAACCGACACTAAAAGTTAAATCATATTTTTAAGGAATGTGTTGTATCCGTCACAATTTATATGATTATTGAGACAACTCAAAATGCTTAATATTATTTCCTCTTTATACGACTTTTATTACTTTCAAAAGTTTCAAATTGGTTAAACTAGTCAATTGCTTTATTTCTTTTCCAAAACATGCTTTTCAAAGATTAATAAATAAATCAGTCATCACAATTTCTGATTTTTTAAATTGAATTTTTTATTTATTATTTTTTATTTCGCAAAAAGAATTAGCACCATTTGAATGGACTACCTAGAATGTAGGAATTACTTATTTTTTTTACCTTGAAAATTACTTCATCTTTTCATTTTAAGTTAACTAATTCAGTATGAAGTATAAAAAAGAAAAAAAAATTCGAAATTTGTAAGGTAAAACAAATCATATACAATTGCATGGTCATAAATTATCTTATTATAACAACAATAAAAAAAAACTCAGTGTAATTTTACAAGTGAGATATAGGAAGAATAATATGTATGCATACATATCCCTACCTTATGAAGGTAGAGATGATGTTTCCCATAGACCCTAAAATTATTTTATTAAAATCAAATTATTCTTAAATATAAAGATCTCATTCTTTTTTACGTCATCTATTTCAATATATGTAAACTTATTTGATTGGGCACGAAGTTTAAGGAAAAAAAGAATTCTTTTGACCTTGTGGTGTAAAATGAGGCACATATATTTTTGTGTGGCTATAAATCATTGCATAAAGGTAAATTATTTCCGAATATAAAAAGAAGTCATTTTTTTTACACGTACTACAAATAAAATAAATATAAGTATATGTTAAAAGAGAAAAGCGTGTCACGCAAAAAATAGTATCACGGTCCAAAAAGTGAATCATTTTAGGAAGTGGTTCGATAACCTTTTTTATTTATTAATTGGGTTAAAGTTTGATTATCTTCTTGGTGATTTGTGACTTGCGATAGCGGGAGAATCTGCTCACGTTACATCAATTTTGATAAACACCTGCTTACTCAAAAATCAAAATAGCTAACATGTGTCAGTTATTTGAATCATTATTTTGTTCCACTTTTTAGATTATTCTATTTACTCAACTAGTGTGACAACTTCTATTTTCCTTTTAAAGAAGAGTAATTAACTTTTTTCTATTTTTTCAATTATTATTATATGAGAAGTTAAAGGGGAGTATATAAGAAGATTCGTACACTCTATATACTATTCATGCTTAAGTTTATTTGGAAAAATATCATTAACACTCCAATTAATTTAAGAAGTACATGTATAAGACACAAGGTGATGCCGAGATTTGTTTATGTGCATATTGACTATTATATCTAATGCATCCAGGCTGCCCTTCCCTATACCCTGTGCATCCGGGCTGTCCTTTTTGAAATTTGAACCTCTTTATTCTCCTGCACCTAAGGAAATTGACATTCAAATAGAGAATATTATGAGTAAGCATTATTTAAAAAATTACAATTGATTCTCAAATCTGTAAGCGTTTGAACATAAGTTACATAACCTTATATATTATTTTGAAATAATAATTGAGTGAATTTAACTTTTGTGTGGATAATATTTTTCTGTGAATAATGTTTGGAATGGTTTCCAAGCTTTGCCACATTTTTATGAAACGATAGTTCTATCAGGCTTTAATATACTGCCTATGTTATTATTATAGTGAAAAAAAACCGTACAACTTATCTTAGAAAAAATACTTCCCAAGCACAAAAATATTTCAAGAAATTATTTGTTAAAATATTTCTATAAAATTTTAATAAAGAGACTCATGAAGGAACTAGCATTTGCTGAGAAAAAAAGAAATTGGTAGGTACAGGTGGGTAAGGTAATAAAGTTTGTAATAAAGTTGGACTGAATTGTAAATGGAAAACGTGCGGGAAATTTTGCCAAAATAAAAAATGTCAGCAGTCAAAATTTCACTAAAATACAGCCTTAACCCTTCATTTCAACTTCCAATTCTCTGTTTTAAGTAAAATTGAAATTCCTAGCAAAATTGATGCCCAAATATTGATTTACAAAGATTCAATATTTACAAAATACTATACATATCCAAAGGCAATTTTATACAAGGATTAATTATATGCTTCACAAATGTAAAAAAAAATCATTTGATGTTTGAATATATTAAAAATATTCATTTACTAGTCAATTGTTTTGGCAATAGTCTGATCATTAAGACCAAATTGAAGAAAGATTGTCTAGTACAAAAAATAATTCCTGATTTTCAGGAAAGAAAAAGAACATGAAAGACACATGGATAGTAGTTGTTTTGATAATATATAGAACCTTTTTAAAAATATTTACTTAACATTTTAGAAAAGAAGAAGAAATCAACCCCTATCATTTCATTAAATTAAGTGATATGTATAAGTAAATAGATTAATATCAAATACTTCTCTGATTAAAACTATTAAATATTGATATTAAAATGTGTACACTATCTTTAAAAAAAAGAAGGGCTAAAGCTAATATCTGCTTGAAATTGGAGTTACAAGTACTGATGATTTATTCTGTAAATACTTATTTGGACTCATTGTTTGCACTAAATTAATTAATGCAATACATGTGTTACTTATACATATATTTATACTTAATTATGATTAAGTGATAGTATTTTTTTCTTCAATTTTCAACAACTAAAATTAAATTACTTAATTTAATGTAGTTTCTACATTAATTACCACCTTCTTATTTTCTACTTTCCTCCCAAAAGTCACTGAGTCTAGTCTACTTTCCTCCCAAAATTCACTGAGTCTAGCCAAAGGTAGATTTATAGCATAAAAAATGGATCACATTAATCCATAGTCTCTTCGTCAAATAAGGTATTTTATGTACATGTTTGTTAGAATTGATCAAATATCATCTCATAGTCTCTTCGTCAAATAAGGTATTTTATGTACATGTTTGTTAGAATTGATCAAATATCATCTCATAGTCTCTTCGTCAAATAAGGTATTTTATGTACATGTTTGTTAGAATTGATCAAATATCATCTGTTGGTACTCATGCTCTAAAGAGACTAAATGGTACACTTGATTGTATTCTTAGTTTTTTTTACCTAGAGGAGGGATCTGTAATATGACCATTATTTTGGCTAATGGAGTCACTATCACATAAACATAAGCATCTTTGCAGAATGTAGACTTTATTGGCAATATTCTTTAGGACCCAAAAATATTGCATTGTGTGTTGGACATTATTTGCACAAGTTATATCTCTTCTTTTACACCTAAGAGGCCAAGACTTTTTTGCCTATAAAAGGGAAGGTCATTAGTTCATTTTAGACACACCAACAAGACTTGAGTCTTCATTTCTTGTTTCTTCCTTTATTAAGAGTGTTTTGTATGAGAGTTAAGTGTTGGGAAGCACTTATGTGAACCCTTTATTTGGAGTGATCTTGTGAGTTTATTCCTTTAGAGTATTTGGGATTAATTAGAGTATTTACTCTAATTTCGTACTCTCTTTTATACTCTTATTGTTATAGTAAATTGCTCCTCTCCGCTTGTGGACGTAAGTCACTTTGACCGAACCACGTTAAATTTGTGTCTTCTTTATCTACTTTAATTGCCGTTGTTATCAACTTCCATTGTCTTTGTTATTGTCATTATACCGTTGTTTGACTATATTCCGCACTACCCGAATTCCCAATCCTAATAGGATCAATTCCCATTTAATATTTTCTTTTTTCTCCTTTCTTTAGTGATACACTCCATGTTATAAAAATATTCGATCCGGCCCCGAGTCTAGCCTATCAAAAATAAATTATAGAAAAATATAAGAGGAAAGAAAAAATATTAAATATATTCTACAAAATGGCAGCCAACCCCAAAGTCCCTCTTCCTCGTGCCAATGTATTCCAGTTTCTGTTGGGCTGTGACAGTGACAGGGTTTGGACTCTTCTTAATTGAATCTAATATTTATAATAATTAATAATTACTTTTCAGTTTGCAAGATTAGATCCAGTCCTTTCTTGGCATATGGATTATTAAATTAATGCCCACCTAACTTTCTCAGTGACTTATTTAAGATGAAAATGACAAAAGAAACAAAAAAGAGCTCATGGAATAAGTTGGTACCTCTTCGTAATACGCATAATTCAAATATTCTATATCGGAAGCCGCCAAATTAGAAGTTCCATTTTTAACCATATCATGGTATTTATTTGCAAAAAAATTAACTTTCTAGTGATAAACATGTTAAAATATTTATAAATTTATAATTTCTTCTCCATATCTCTCTATGCTACTTACTTTGTAAATTAGAAGTGAGACGTTATTCCTCTATTTGGATCTATTGCCTAAATTACCAAGAAGACATCTCCAACTAGTTTAGATTAAGAAGTTATCGTCGTTGTGTTAGTCTGCGAAGATAGTGATAGGATGGATAAAATCTTTCGATATTTAATTAAAGGTTTCGAGTTTAAGTAAAGAAAAAAAAAAATCTTCGTAGTAAATATTTCCCCCTTCAATAGTTCTTATACGACACAAATTTGGACTAGTCATACCCTCTAAATTAATACTTGGGTGGGAAATCAATTCAACCGTCAAGAACTTATATTTCTATAAGTGAATTATTCCGAATTCAATTAAGTGACTCTCGAACAATGAATTTCAATTGAATTGTTTTCCCTTGTTTCATAAAAAAAAGTACAAATTAAATTGCCTTTATATAGAGTGTTTTATCCTTCAAAAATAAATTTTTCGACGTGAATTTATGATTTAAAGTCAAAACTTTAATTTATACACACTTATACAATGTCACGTTATAGTATGAATTTACCTATTATAACATTTTATTAATCTTAATTTACTGTTACTTAATTTTATGCCTTTGAGCGATTAGAGTACATAATATTTTTTACTTTTATTATTTTTATTTTATATGTGATACTCTCGAACCATGAATTTCATGATCAGTTGAATTCTTCTTTTTTTCTCTTTGTTTCATTAAAAAATAAATGAGAATTCAAATTCAGTGACTGTCGAACCATGAATTTCAATTGAATTTCTTCTTTTTCTCTTGTTTCATAGAAAAATAAAAAAAATGTCAAATCTGAAAACCATCATATAAATTTTATTATTATCTCTCTCTCTGTTTTGGACTTATTCGAGTTTTATTATAAGTCGTGCTGACAGGCAAACTTACCTACATTAAGCAACTAAATAATATTAGTCAAATAAGAACAAATATAGGATAATGGTGCTGACGTCAAAACTAAAATACTGTTAAATCCAGTAGCAAACCAACCAGCATATTTTCATATGCCGACGAAATTCATCCGGTAAAAACATTCTACTTCCCCCCTTATTTCCCCTTATTTATTTATTTTCATTTTTGGTCCTACAATTATTAGAATCATTAATATGTCAATGACCATTCTAAGTTCTAATTTTTTTTTCTTTGATTAATGGGAATTTGAGTCTTCTAATGTCCATTAAAGTGAAAACGTATGTATTATTCATCACTCAAATTCCAAATTTTTTATTAAAAGCAAAGAGATCCTAATTATTTTACCACATTCCATACTAGTTCAAACGTAGTAAGCAGTAACACATTATTACTGCGCTTCTTGGCTTCACTTGGGGATATAATATTATCTTACAATTCAACAATATTTAAGTGGATATAATATTAGCATGCAAGTAATTGTATTTTTGAGATGATAGCTGATATTTGTTTGACACTTTTATTCAAGCATCCCAAAATGTTTGGGTTCATTATATATANTAATATACTATCAAATTTAATTTAGACAACTTCACAGCTATTACTACAAGTCAAACAAAATATTTCAATTTTTGTACCCTGTCAAATGATTTCAGAGTAGTATTATTTTGCAACCCAATTATTGCAGTCAATACAGTACTACGAACTCCTCAAAGCAGCTGACACAGTTTAGCAAACCAAAATTGAAGGTCATCCAAATGTTTTATGTGGAAAAATCGAAATCATATTTGTATTGTTTTTCTTTTAAATTAGGCAAGTCAAAGTTGTTTCAGTACACTGTTAATAAACCTAACACTTGAAAGAAACAAGTCTGCTAGCTTAGGGTAACTCCAAAGGTAACATTGGTCCAAGTTTTTGTGCCCCACATTAGACTTCGAGTCAGGCGACTCAAAATGAATATGGTGGTTGAGACGTAGTAGATTAATATAATCATACACAGCGGCGGAGGCCGGATTTCCGTTAACGAATTCAAAAAGAAAAAGTTAAAAAATTAAAAGAAACTATGATGCCAGTGGAAATTGAACCATCGACCTCACAAAAGTTCTAAACCCCTTTACCACTGAGATGTTTTCGAGCTCTATCAAAGGATTCAAATTATAATATATAGAGGCGCAAAACAAATTTTGTCTTATATATACAATGTATTTTTCAGGTGAAGGAGGTTCGTGAACCTGCTTCCGCCCCTAAATCCACCCCTTCATACATATAAATAGATTAGTTTCTGTACACGTGCGTTCTGTACTAATCAATATAAATATTTTATAGTGGTAGTACAAATAATAGAATAGTATAGTAATTTATCTTTGGATAAGAAAATAAAAGAAAAAATTAAATATGCTGAAATCTTCTAACAACACCGAGTCACTACAAGAAAAGGTGTAATTTGTGGAGTTTTTTCTTAATTTTGTGACGGTTTCGGACCCCCACAAATTGAATTGTGAGGGGGGGAGGGGTGGACGACCCCACGACGACCTCCGCAAATTAAATTTGTAATTAGTGAATTTTTTAAAGTCAATTAAGGGCAGGTTATAACCTCCTTTATATGATTTTAATGCTAAAAAATAATAATTTGTGGGCTTTGTAACTGTCACAATACGAGTTGTGATTTAAAAATAATAATCTAGTGACAGTGTATAACCATCACAATATGAGCTCTATGTTAAAAATAATTAATTAGTTGGGGTCTATAATCGTCACAATATAATCTCTTTTATAAATTTTAATTTATGAGGATTAATTATCCTCACGAGTTGAATATTGAAATGCGATTTCTTCTCATTAAATATTGCATGATTAAATAAGATCAAGCTTGTATCATCATATGCATAAACAAAAAAATAAATTATTTACTAAATAAACAGAAATCTAATTTCATTAAAACATCCACAATAGCAACAGCCACAAATTCAAGTACTACAAATGATACTAAAACAATATAAACTAAAGTAGTTCCTAAACATTACTACTTAAAATCCATAAAAGCAACAATGGTTCCACATTGAATAAATAAAATTTTAAGTCTTTGCTTGGTGATTCTGGTAGTTGCTGCCCGATGATCCTCTTACATCCACCGGTGAAGTCACACTTTGTATCATCACTAGGTAGAAACAATAAAAAGCATATTCAGATGAAAAATCTGACCATTATACCAAATTTTGAATGCTTCCTTAAAGCCATGATTATCTAGCTATGACCAAGATGAGGACTATATCCTCGTGACAATTCACTTGCCTAATAATAATGCTTATGACATTCTGTTAGACAAGAAGCAATTGTATTCTAAGAGATATAATTTCTATACATGGAAGATTCTCAAGTTAGATTATACATATAAATGGAAATGCTTTCCTAAGTGAGAGAAAAACAAAAATAATTTATACCAATATCTCCCTACTACACATGAAGGCATGTTTCAGATGTCTTCAATCAACCATGCCGAAGCATGTACAATATTCTAAATTATGGTACGCAACTTAGTATCGTCAAGAATCAAATGTACAGTAATGTATTTTACAGTTATCTATTATGCATCCTTCTTTCCCTTGCAATAGTCTAATCGGACCAAATTAAAAGATAACACAGAAGACATCACAAAGCACAGAACTCCTAATATTCTTCTTACCTGTGGTTGAGGAGCAAACAAACCAGTAAATTGCTCAGAAACTCTTCCTTCCTTTGATATCATGTAAGCTTTTAGTGCAGTTAAGGTACTTGCTAATTGGGACTTCAAATGAGTGACCTCTTGTTGCAAATAGCTGAAAGTTGTAGATGATGCGCCGAAACTAGATGAAAAATGGTTCAGCTCATTAAGTTGTTGCTTGATATTCTTGAATGTATTTGAAGGAGCTGCTCCCATACCCATACATCGTACCTTCCCAGAATGCTCTGCCCCTAACACCTTGCCAATAATATCATCCGTGGAAATTTCAGATTCATTGTTATTGCCTTGAGTCGATTCAATTTGTTCCTACAAGCAGAGAAATTATCAATTAGTATTTACGGAAAGTAAGATTGAGATGCAAAATGTTAAAATAGAACTTCAAATAATGTCAAAAAAATACACCACAGCTGAACCTACCACTATAGTCCTTGCCTCGTCATTTATAAATGATCCATCCTTTCTCGATTTCTCCAATGAGTTTCGATAAACATCTTTCCCCGAGTAGGATTTTCTCTAGTTTCCAAAAACTAAGAAAGAGATAAATTAAATAGATTGTAATAAAGAATTTAAATTAGAGAACAAGTAAAACTATTAAGTTAACATGAATACCAGCTCATGTCGTCGTCTCGAGTTAGCTTTGGAACCACCAGTGTGAGGCATTGTTTGCTTGCGGCGAATTTCTTTATTTCTTCTACAACTTTCCTAACAACAAAATAATAACAATTTAAAAAGTTAGTCTAATATTTAATCATAACGACAACAAAATCTATTCAAATAATCATAATCTTACAATTATTGATGATTTTAGACGATAAGCAACAAAATAAGCCCACTGATCTCTATTTATACCCGGTGGCACATTGCTTAAAAGTTCAGTTCTACTTTTGGCTGGGTCATAAAATTCATCCCACAGCCTATGTCTATGTATAGCCCATTTCTTGTTCAAACTAGCATTGCAATATCTGTATGCAATGGCATTAGTAGTCCTAAAAAAGAACCGAGACTTCAAATGAAAAAGAAAAACAAATTTAGTTTTCTATACAATAATAAAAATCTAGTTACAATAAATAGATATATGTGTAATACCTTTAGCATTGTTTCAAAGCAGTCTTCCTTGTATTTTTTAGGAATGACTGACGGTCCTGACCACCTGTCAAAATTAATTGGAAAGAAATTATCATCAATAGCCAGTAATCCACAATATCCAGCNTGTTTCAAAGCAGTCTTCCTTGTATTTTTTAGGAATGCTTGATGGTCCTGACCACCTGTTAAAATTAATTGGGAAGAAATTACCGTCAATAGCCAGTAATCCACAATATCCAGCGAACAACCCTTGCGCTTCCCCATATGCTGCATCGTAGTTATCAAAGTCCACAATGATGCGTTCTCCGATATGTAGGTTGTTGACCTCATTGACCTTGATCTTAATGTGTTTGGTAGGGTTGTTTGAGTCTTTAATAAAAAAATCAAGTTAGTCAACCAAAAGGAAAAACATCAGAAATTTATAAAGTGAAATAAACATACATATAAGGCATATACCTATTGCCTATACTTTTTAATATTGTGTAGATTCACGTCCATGATGGCGTATGGGCATTGCACTTGGATAAGAAGGCTGAGTCGGTGCTTGTTCTTGTTGTGGGACTTCATCAGCTACTGAGGAACTTGTAGGAGCATGTGGGGGAACTTGTAACGAAAGTGAGGGCTCTATAGCAAGTGACGGGGCTGGAGTTGTTGATGATGAAGAACGTCCAGGAGCATCATATGGTCCATGAGCTGATTTTAATGGATTCCGAAAACGTTTAACCTTTGACATGGCAGCATATTCATAAGAAAAAAATTGGTGAATTAAATATGATCTAGTGCACTGAGATGAAGCGAACATGGAACTATGGTAGAACTTTAATTACCGAAAAATTCTACAAAATTTTCATTTTCACTGTTTTATTCAAACAAAGGAAAGGACAAAGAACAGAGTAGGGAAGGAAAATGATTGCCCGGCAGCGACTTAGACATGGGAAATTAAGCATAACATAAACATTAAAGATGTTTAAAATTAAAGAAAAAGACTGCAATTATAAATTATGAAACTTTTAAAGTACTTCTGTTTGGTATTAGTAGAATAGTGTTGCTTCCCCAGATAGTAGCAAACAACTTAGTTTTAACCCTTTTCTAAACCAGTTCACTACATAAAAAATATAAAAAATATTACGACACAAATGTTAACTCATGATTTCTTAATTAATTTGAAAAATACTTCTAAGTATCAATTTGTGTTTGACCAAGTTTTTAAAAAATACTTCTAAGTGTATTTTTCTCAAAATTACTTCTCAAAAAAAAAAATTATGAGAAGAAGTTACTTTTTCTGCTTCTCCAAAACTGCTTCTAAAATACTTTTTTTTTTCTTTTAAAAGTCTGACAAAACACTTCTAACTTAAAAAAAAAAAAAACAGAGAAGCTTGGTTTAGTCTAAAAGCTAAAATGTTTTGCAAAAACTTCACCTAGCTCATAGTGATTCCAATAAGCTGAAAAGTTTTGGCAAGAATGATGAGTTATATCAGAAGACTTTGATAAAGTGAAACCGAAAGAAGATAAGCTTTACATGGTAATGCTTATAAATATTATTGCTTTAAAAATTCACTTATATAAGTTGATTATTGATCACCATTTAATTAACTTTATGATTTTTTGCAACGGATGAAATAATTCTTTGCTATTTATTACATTTTCATTCTTTGGGATACAAAAAGGCATACGAACTTTATGACTTAATAATAAACTTTGTAATCAAACCATTACTTTTATTTGATAAAGCAACTGAACTTGCACGTGTGACTCTTTTACCTTTACTAATAAGATGTTTCATGTTTGAATTTTTACAAGAAAACCAAAAGCCAAAATGATATTAAAACCTGGTCATGTAAATATATTTCGCATTTGTGGACATAAACGGCTTCCCACGTTTTTTTTTCTTTTCAAAATTTACTTTTACTTTTTGTTATTCTTATTTAATGGTTTTTTGGTTATCTTAATAGAATGTATATTAAGAATTCATTTAGAATGCATAAAAAACTGAAAGGTCAAGATAATAGAAAATAAAGAAGATAGAATATGAGAACGGTTAAAAATAGCTCTAACATATACATGTGTTGCACCAAGGGTTGTTTAACGGGCGAGCTGGAACGGGCTGGACACAAAAAAAAGCAGCCCGTCCGTTTAATGTTGCGGGCTGTTAGCGGGTTGCGTTAGCGGGCTGTACTTTTTCGGGTTTTTTTTGTCCGTCCGGGTTCGGGCTATTAGCGGGCCGTGGATTTTTTATTTTTATTTTTATTTTTGTAAAGTAAATTTTATTTTTCTTATTCAATGTTATTGATACTTAAGTGTTTGCAAACTTTTAAGGCTTAGGATTAAACTTTGAAGTTTAAAATTTAAAATTTGAAATTTGAATTTTATAATGTTAAAATTAAAATTTGAAAGTAAGTGGCTACAAAAAATTATTTAATAAGACCTATATGTAAGGATCAAGCTGTGAAGACTTTCATTTGATATTTTTATTGAATAATATATAATACTTCAAATTAAGTTACAAGTTCTTTTTTGATTTTGTTATTTTTGAACTTGCAAATTACAAGTTTACAATAATTATAAAAAACAAATAGTACATCACATGTTTTGCATCATTTTTTGTAAGTTCATCCATGTCAACATGAGGTTCTTGGTTTCCGGCATTGATTGAATCAGAACCATAAACTATTATATCTTCAATTTCTTGGTCCTCCGCTTCATCTACCTCGTCACGCCCTTGATTTCCTCGTTCTGATCTTATCCAATCTCTGAAGCACACTAGAATTTTCAAAGCGTTGCTACCCAATGAATGACGGGTATCTCTTAGTTGCTGCCTTGCTTGGCTAAATGCGCTCTCTGATGCGACTGTTGAAATCGGCACATTTAGCACGTCTCGAGCCATGGCCGAAAGAACAAGAAATTGATTTGAGTTGCTCCTCCACCAACCTAGCGGTAAAAATTCCTTTGTGCGGGGCTCTGCTGACTTTTGCAAGTAGAATTGAAGTTCATCAATATTCCTGCTACTGGTTTGTTGATGCTCCCCTATTGTAGACCAAATCAAATAATCTTCAACACCATCATTATCATCCAAAGCACTGGTCCCAGATGTTGAAACTGAACTTGAAGGAATATTTGCATCTACAGCAGAAGAAACATCAACAATGTTAGTATAATAATTATATAATATTTCTAAATGTTTGTGTAGATCAGAAATACAAGTGCCAATATCAGGAGTTTCAGTTGGTCCAATATCCATATAAGAATGTAAAGCAGTGATTAATTGGCGACAAGTGGCCATTTTGATAGAAGGGTTTAAAATAGCACTAATTAGGTAAATAGAGGGAATTGGGTAAAAATATTTTTTAAACTTATCTAGCATAGATTCAACAACAGAAGTATATCCTTCTTTCTTCTTCAAATTATGTAGTAAAAGAGAAATTTCAGCAATATGAACTAAACCATTTGCAATAGTAGGATAATAAGCTCCAGAAAACTCAAGTGTAGCCACATAAAATTTTTGTAAAAACTTTACAACATCTTCAATGACATCCCAAGTTCTAGATGTTAACAAACGGCTAGGATCGGTACAATGAGAATTAGCAACTTCAGTTATAGGCATTCTATGTTTATAACAATATTTTAAGAATAAATAAGTATAATTCCACCTAGTAACTATTTCTTCAGGCATGAGTCTTGGTTTTAGTCCATAGTGTAGACATTTTTCTTTAAATGCATTTAATCTAGCACTTCTATTATTTCCTTGAATTACACCAACAACTCTTCTAACTAAAGTGATATCATCTCTAAATAATTCAAGGCCACTCTTCACAATCAAATTATAAATATGACATGCACATCTAACATGAAATATTTCAGGAAGTGGTGGGTGTAGATGCAATTTTAATATTGTAATAGCAGCATTATTGTTAGAAGCATTATCAAATGACATACACAAAACTTTTTCTGCAAGATTATAAAATATAGCAACTTCATGGATAGTATTACTTATAAATGCACCAGTATGACTTTGATCTTCATCATATTTAAAAGCAATAATACGTTTTTGCATAACAAAAATACCATCTATCCAATAGCATATAACAGTCTAATAATCATTACCATTTATAGCACGACCAATATCAGAAGTAAGAGAAATTCTACAAGAAAGACTGGCGAACAAATAACGTATATATGTCTGATATTGTCCAAAAAGCCTAAAGATATCAGCTCTACAAGTACTTCTAGGAATACCTTTAAACAAAGGGTTATAAATTCTTTGAATATAAGTAACAAGATATGGTGAAGCAGCAAAACTAAAAGGTAAACAACCTAAAATAATCATTTTAGCTAATTCTTTCCGATCTTTCTTAATATCGTATTTACCCATTAACCCTCCAGTACCCGAGTTAAGTTTTTGTTGCCCATCTTCCTCATCTACTCCCCAATCAAGAGGGTGGTTGTCTACCATGTGCCTACGAAGTTGACCCGTCCCCTCTCCCTTACCGGTCTCATGTTTATAAATATCCTTACAAATTTTACATCTTACATAATTTTTATCTTCTTCTAGTCTGTCAAAAATATTCCAACACTTACTTCTTAATCTTCGATTTTTCTTAATAGGGAGGGGAGGCCTACTTGTATTACCATGACTTCCACCCCTAATATTTTGAATTTGACTAGCATTACCAGGTGTAGCTGGTGGTGTTTCAAGATTATCAGGTGATGAAAATGGAATATCATCTAAATTATCATCTAAATCATCATCTATACCATAATTTTCTTGAAGTCCCCCATAATCTACATTTAAATTTTTACGTGAACTTTCAGAAATATGTGTAAAACTACTAGAAGAACAAGTACCACCTCTTGATCTTTTGAAAGTTTTCTTACTACCACCTCTACTAGTGCACGCTTTTTTGGCTGCTCTAAATATATCCATTATGTAAATTAAATTAATAATTGTAAATAATAAAATAAATGTACACCAAAGAAGAGAAAGATATAGAACGAGTGTACCGGGATTCCGGATGCCGCACTAAATTTGATATCAAAAATCAAACTTCAATTGATAGATCGATACTTGATAGTTGATACTTGATACCACACTTCACTTGAATACTTGATATTTGATAATAATAATTTTGTAATGGCTAAACTAAATATTTGATGAAACTTGAAATAATAAGTAATTGAGAATTTAAGAACAATAATCAATAATATCAAGAGAGAACTAGAGTAGTAAGAGAGTGAATTGTGAGAAAAAATGAAGAAGAAGTGGGGCTATTTATAGTTTTTAAAAGGTTAAAATTGTAATTTATCAAAAACTAGGGGTGTGGGGGCTATTTTCTTAAGAGGGTAGGCCGAAATAGCCATTTCTGCAGAAAAAGGCCGTTGGCCAACAGTCATATCTGAATTTGACCGTTGGCAACGGTAAAAAGAAAAAGAAAAAAGAAAATAAAAATCGGGCTGAACCGGGCTGTGGCCTGTTAACAACCCGTTAATGGGTTAATGGGCTTAGCAGGTTCCGGTGCATCGGTATTAAAAAACCGTTCGTTTGAAACCTGCTCCCCGCCCAACCCGTCCCAGCCCGCCTCCCATGCTACAGTACCGGGCTGACCCGGGCTGAACCGGGTTATAAACGGGTCAGCCCGACCCGATTAACAGGTATAGTTGCACCTAATTGAAGAGACTCAACACTAATTATTTTAGTGAAATTATTACAATTTACTATTGAATGTTTTGACCTTTTTG